GTGGACTGCAGCCGGCTGCCCTGGCCACCTGAGTGCATGTGGGAGCACTAGCTGCAGTTGTCTAGTGATGTCCACTTTAAAAATGGAAGTGAGCCCAGTGAAGGAAACTTGCTGGGTGGGGGAAAAGACAAAACAAGGCATAGGATTCTCAAGGCTATTTCCTGGTAGTGGCCTGGGTTCCTGAGAGGCACCACCCAGGAGAAAATGATCTTAGTTCCTATAATAGGCTGCCAAGAAGGCAGCTGTTTGGAGCAAAGCAGCTATTCAGATCTTGAGTGCAGTGATGTAGAATGTCACGACAGACATTACATTGCTATAGTATTATATTACCAGCCATTAGAGCTTCCTAAAGGTCAACTCTTAGGTTGAAGCACAATTTGTATGCTTACTAAACGATGCAGCTGAAGAATCCTCAAAAGAGCCTGTTTTAGGAGATCAATTATTGTGAACTTGAAAGCTTATAGGCAAAAAGGGCCAGCTCCATGTATTTGTACATGTGAACTTAAGGTTCAGCCCTGACTACTGATCTCTCACTATCAGGTCAGAGTGCAGGGTCTTGATGTGTGTCCAGGGCTGTGTCCAATGAACAGAGTGGGCTACGTGAAGTCACAAGTCACCATCTGCAAAGCCAACCAACTCCACGCATAGATGAGACAGAAGACACAAAGCAAACAACCAGTTCAAGGGCTGTGATAAGAGACAGCTGTGGGGTTGAGAGGAGGTTCTCAGGGGTAAGAAGAAGGATGTGAAACATTAAACTATGTGTTCTTGCTTTTCTCACTCTCTTCTGAAGACCTTTTCTTCCAGGAATTCTGGCTCAAATAATTCCACTGGACTGGGGCAATCCCCCAATGCTTTTAAACATATATGTTTCTCTGGAGCATGTGTAACTGTTGTTTTGTTTGAAGTTTGGTCCTTCAATGCCCACCGCCTCCACCTGACCTTTGGTCCTGTGAGGGAATATGAACTCTCTAGGACTGCATAGACCCCGCATTCCTGTCCTGATACTGCCCCATCCTGTGCCTTGTTTAGAGTCATGTAATGGCCCCTCTTCAATAATGTGGATCTCTCTAAGTTTATACAGGCTTGAAATGAAATAAAAGCAAGTTGATTTAAGTCCCTATGGGTACGACTAGTACTCAGCAGGTGCAGGATCAGGTAGCTGGATGGGAGACGCACACAAAGCAGGGAGGCACCCCCGGAGGCTGGGCAGCAAGGAGCAGCGTCAGGAAAATGTAGAGGACTTCATGTAGAAATTGCAGTGGAAGAAATACATCCTTGGAGTCAGGGAGAAACAATTGACTAGCAGTATGAGTCACCATTGCTTTCTGGATCTCAGCTTGCCCATCTGTAAAATGGGTGAGACACACCAAGTTACATGTGCGAGCTCATTCACATGAAACAAACCTTGATACAAAGTTTGACATTATAAAACCATCAAGTGAAAAGGACGGTAATGTGTCTTGCTGTGTCTGGAGGCCTATAGGCTAGAGCTGACTCACTCCAGCCTGGGCCATGTCATCCCCACTTATGCATGATTCTGTGCACACCCACACCCTCTGTACAGTGAGGCTGCACCAGCCCAGGGACTCACTCTAAAGCCCAAAACAAAAACACATCAGGTGAAGAGGGACGCTGAAGAGCAATCTCTAGACACCCTACACAATGGCAGGTCTCAGTATTAAGAAGGAGAAGGAGGTCCACAACGCAATAAACTCAGCCTCTTCCACCAGCATCACAGGGAAAGCCCCGGGCAGCATGTCCAGTGTAGCCTTTCCTCCCTCCTCCCTGAACGCAGAGTGACCTGCGCCACAGCCAGGCTGCAAACGTTGACTGTCATAAAGAGGCAGAAGAAAGCTGTGTGCCTTTGAAGGCCTTTTCTGAGCTGGCACTGCTAGCAAAACCCTTCCTCACACGAGGAACTGGCATTGACAATAAATACAAGTCAAATCAAGTACGGGGAAATCATGGAGACAGATTCAGGCCTCAAAGGCATGACGGGGATCCCCAGGAGGCAGTCCTCTGTGCAACAGCTAAGCTGATGTGACAGGACTGTGCAGCTTTCCACGGAGGCAGTTTTTATATTTTGAAAGGATTACATTTTGAATGGTTATATAAATACCTACATAATAGGCTGAATTTTGCCTCAGCTTATAACACCTAAAACATTTCCAAACTGGTACTTTTCAGAAATGTTGCCAACCTGCCAACCCATGCTAATAGTTGCTGAGTCCCCCAACAACTGGAGCTTATACCATGATCTAAGTCCAGATCTAAGTCTGGACTTTATCCAGAAGGACAGTGATAGACAAAAGGCAATGACTCCCCTTTAAATCCCTGCTTGAATTTCCTGGCCTGGATGTTCTCCCCTCTTCTAAGCTAACTTGTGAGCTCTCTAGAAGGTCCTTAGTGACCGTCCCCAACTCCACCTGAACTTTGACCTTCAACTTGGGGACCCCGAAGAGGGATTTCACCATTCACTGCCCTGTAGGACTTGCCTTCCTTTTATACTGACTGACCCCTTCCCACAGAGTCTATAATTGGTATGAAGGGTCAGTGTCCCAAATTTGTTGCTGGTATCTGTCACTGTATTAGAAGACAGTAGTCATAGGAGACATGCTGATGAAGTCAAATTATTAACCTTCATCCAGGACCAAACTCCATTGCATACAAATCTGCCATTTCTGGATGGTACTTGGGTAAAGTGCCCCTTCCCTGGAAGAAATTCAACTCCTTCCAGACCAATCCAGAGAATGTTCACATCATTCACATAGAATCATGCAATACAAACTCTGTGGAGAAACTCCTCAGAGACTAGCACTGTTTCAAATCCCCTCCAGGGAGCCGCCCCAGTGGGCCAACCAAGCAGAGGCTTTTAAAGAAAGTACAAAGTTCTCTCTCTCCTGCCCCAAACCTATAATAGCTTGGGGTTCATAAGCATATGGACAGGCAAAGAAAAAGTTAATAGTGAAAAAGAAAATGCAAAACACTTTGCTGAACTCCCAACATGCAGCCCTGAGCTCTGTGGGCTAGTGCCTTATCAACCCAGAGAGGGATTCCTGCTGTGGGAGCCAGGAGGCACTATCTGGGCAAATGAGCAGAGATGAAGCCACTGAATTTCATCTCACCAGGAAGGTGAAGGCTGTTGGGGAAATCAATGAGGCAGAGAAGGGAAGGGTGGGAGAGGGCAGGAGGATTCCTAGCTAGGGTTTACCTGGATAGAGCCAGGACTTCAGCTAGCTTTCCTGCTGACTGCAAACCATGGTGATTGGCTAAGAGACTGTAGCAATTTCCAGAATCAGAGCAACAAGGACTGAAACTGTGGAGACACTGAACCACTTTGAATCGCCCTTGTGAGTGCCTGCCCAGGTCCCCTGTCACTGGCCTTCAGGAGTGAAGATCACACAGGGGACTGGGGTGTCTGATGCCAAGGCTCCCTCTTGAATCATCTTGATCTCTTTTGTAGATCTGTGCTAGGAATCCGTTCCCTCACAAACGAAAGAGTGAGTCTTGTTTTTTCATTCCCCCCACTCTGTCCCTAAGCATGTATGGAAGACTGTGCCCCTTACCTAGACACTTTAAAGATGAAGTCTCCTGTGAGTGGACCAAACTTCATCAAGCACCTGGATGCATCCGAGCCCAAAGGGCAACTCTGTCTCCCTCGCTGAGCCCTACAGGATCAGTGTTATATCTGTTTTGTTTTGCAGGAAGCGCAGAGCCCTAGGGGTTAACAACGAGGTCCAATCACTAGGTCAGCACCAAACCTCAAAAACTAGCTCTCAAGACTCAGAGGGCTCAGAAGTGACACTGCAAAGCAGAGCATTGACAGGTGTCCTGCTTTTTAGCAGACTGAAAATTGTAAATAAGTGCCTCTGTTCCTCCCCCTTAGCTTTAGCAAGCAGAGAAAAACAACAGAGCCCATCCTGCCCAGTCCTTCTGTCTTCCCCACAGATTGGCTGTTGGTAGAGCAGCTCTTAACTAGAAATGACTCTGGGAATTCCAACACTGGTTTTTATATTGTGTCTTATCTAATTACACAATCCCTATACGTGAATGTAGTGGTTTCCCCATCACTAATAGGGAGACACACCTATCACTAATAGGGAGACACACCCAGACACACCCTCAGAACTAACCACTCAGCCTAGGGTTGGTTATCCTGAGGGAAGGCTGACTATAGACCAGGAGCCTTCCCTGGTGAGACTGTAAAGCAGCCAGCTTGAATTCAGTAGAAAATGCAACAGTGGGAATCCAGATAGCTCATTCCAGAGAGAAACTGCAGCCAGAGTTAAACCTTCTATGATGTTGTGCCACAAGCATCCAGTTGAAAAGGGAACAAAGGGATTCATTCTGAGTTTAGGGATTACTGGGGGTGAGCCCACAGTTTGTCCTTTAATGGGAACAAGCAAACCTTTACATACCATCCACCATAAAGACATTGCTCACCAAGCTTCTGCCAGGCCAGGCTCAGGGAGTGAACAGCACAGCATTTTCCCTGGTTGACCTTCACCGGACTGTACTTTAATGAATAGGGTTTATTTCTGTAAGCATCAGACTTGCTTCTCAGAGTTGCTAAGAGCCATGGTAAAGGAGGCTTAGAACTCGCAGGAAAGGAGACTTAAGAAGCCCAGTGCCTAGAACTACGTGGGGATACTGCAGAGTAGGAGGACCTCATCACCATTTCCCGTAACTTCCCCTCTACAGTCCATACTGACTGCACTATATCCATGTCACTCACAGCCTGAGACAAATAACCCCCCTACCATGTTACACACAGTCTGAGATAAATAATTGGCCTACCACCCCCTACTATGTTCAAACCCATGAAAGAGATGCTTCTGAGAAAATCACAAACTTCCCAAGTTTTCTACCTCAAAGCATTTCAGACTCCAAAGCCAGAAACAGTAAGTGGCAGATTTCACTCTTTAAAATTTGAAAGAACACATCAGCTGTAGAAAAACTTACACTTGCCTCAACAGAGTCACATTTTATTTCCTGGGATGAAAATAAAGAGAATGAATTGTCAAAAGCCTTCTTCCAACATTATTAAAGGGTTTTTTTGTGTGTGTGAAGAAAGCTACAAGAAATGTTTAAGGCACATACATACATAAAAGGATCAGATTTACCTATCTTTCAGAACATTCTCTACCTAGACACAAAGCACTAATACCACATCCTGGAAAAGAGATGCTTGGAGAAACAGGAACCTGAATGGCCTTACCAGGGTCTCTGGCTGCCAGTGTCCGAGGAAAAGATGACCACAACCCTTTTGTAATTCAATGTATATCTTGAGAATACATCCAAACATTCTCCATGTGGATTGCCATAAAAAATCCACTCACCAGCAATAAAAATATTTGCTCCTATACACAAATATAATCACATGTACATTTGGAACACATAAATGGGAAGGGCTACAGACTCTCCTGGGATTTGAGCTATTTAAAGTCTTTTTTGTTTGGGTTATCCCTCTGCTGGGTATAGAAAACTGGCTACAAATACATCCATCTCAGCGCTCACCATTTCAACTGCTTCTTCGTCATGGAATGTGGTACTTTTTAAAAATAGGTGACCCTTGACGTCACGGTAAGAGGAGAAAAAATGGGAAGTTAGAAGGCAGGAACATGGGAAGGGTCAAAAGGAGATAGACAACAGTGACCAGCTGGGCTTGAAATACTCTGTGGCATTAAGTAGACAGCTTTGCAGGTTCAAGGGGGGTGGGTATCCCTATTTCCCATCCTGCTATCACCAGCCTGCCTGGATTCCTCTTTACAAGTCTGTTTCCCGGCTGGTGTCCAGACAGAGGGCATACAGGGACCTGCGCAAGTCTGCATTGCTCTTGGCCTTCAGGTTATACTTTTCAAGGGGGCAACTACCCCTTCTGGTGCTGTCTGAATTCTCCAGAGAACCCCCAGTCTTGCAGAAGGAAGCCTTGCTCCAGCTGGCCTTCCGCTGGCTGCCTGTGTCCAGTGTAGACCCCTGTCTTTGGTTGCCTTGCTCATCCTTCAGGGCAGCTTGCTCTTCATGGTCTGTCTCCCTGTGGTAGAAGTAGTTAAAGTTGGAGACGATGACTGGCACAGGCAGGGCAATGGTGAGGACCCCAGCGATGGCACACAGTGAGCCCACGATCTTGCCTCCCACGGTGATGGGCCTCATGTCCCCGTAGCCTACAGTAGTCATGGTGACCACTGCCCACCAGAAAGCATCTGGGATGCTGGAGAAATGGGAACCCTGGTTGTCTGCCTCTGCGAAGTAGACTGCACTGGAGAAGAGGATGACTCCGATGAAGAGGAAGAAGATGAGCAAGCCCAGCTCCCTCATGGAGGCCTGCAAGGTCTTGCCCAGGATCTGCAGCCCCTTGGAGTGGCGGGAGAGCTTGAAGATGCGGAACACCCGGACCAGGCGGATCACCCTGAGGATGGCCAGGGACATGGCCTGCTGCCCGTTCTGGCCACCCCCGCCTCCTCCCCCTGGCTGTTGCTCTGCCAGCTCGGTGCCCAAGGTGATGAAATAGGGAAAGATGGCCACAATATCGATGATGTTCATGATATTCCGAGAGAACTCTGCCTTGCTGGGACAGGCAAAGAAGCGCACAAGCAGCTCAAAAGTGAACCAGATAACGCAAGTGGTCTCCACAATGAAGAATGGGTCAGCCAGGGTCCTAGGCAGGAGTGGTGCCACCGTGGGGCCAAAGGAAGGGGCGCCAGCCCTGCTGCCATTGGCCCCTGAGGTGGGCACCCGAGGCTGGGGAGGTACTGGGGGATGGCGGAGCAGCTCGCGTTCATCCCTGAACTCAGGCAGGGTCTCCAAGCAGAAGGTTATGATAGATATGAGGATAACCAAAACTGACACGATGGCGATGGCTCTCGCGGAGCCCGAACTTTCTGGGTATTCAAAGATAAGCCACACCTGGCGCTGGAACTCTTGGCGAGGCAGTGGCTTCTCCTCTTCCTTGATGAATCCCTCGTCCTCCCGGAAGCGCTCCATGGCCTCATCCCCCAGCTGGTAGAAGCGGATCTCATCTGCAAACACGTCCAGGGAGACGTTGACAGGCCTGCGCAGGCGCCCCCCCGACTGGTAATAGTACAGGATGCCGTCGAAGCTGGGCCGATTACGATCAAAGAAGTACTCATTCCTCAGGGGGTCAAAGTAGCGCAGGCGCTTGACTGGGTCCCCCAGGAGGGTGTTGGGGAACTGCGCCAGGGTGCTCAGCTGTGTCTCAAAGCGTAGCCCCGAGATGTTTATGAGGACGCGCTGATGATGGAGCGCCCCAGCACCCAGAGGGGCCTGATCCTCCTCCACTGTGCCCAAGCCATGGTCGCCTTCCCCCTCCTCCTCCTCCGGAGATGGTCTTCTAGGTTGCAGCAGCTCCTGGGGCAGTCGAGACAAAGGCCGCCCTCCTGGGTCCGACCCCCTGTGCGCCCGGTGCCTTCTCTGTGCGAGCTCTTGGGGCGGATCGCTGAGCCCAGCCGTCGGGGGACATCTAAGCTCTCCACTGGGGGTCTGCTCACAGCTTGTTCGGACCTCTCCACCTCCCTGGAGGGTCATGGCACTGCCATTCTCCAGGGGCACCAGGGTGATCTCCATGGCCCGGGCACAGGGGGCATGCTGCGCCCTGGCCACGGGTTTCCCGCGCCCCCCACTCACGCTCCTCACGCCTCGCCTGGGGCTCCTCTCCAGCGGACTGTTCTGGCTCTGGGACCCGCTGGTGTGGCTGGTAAGATCCGCTTGGCTGGCCTTGACGTCAAGACGCCGCTGCCCTGCTCCCTGCCTCTCTTTTGCTCTCAGTGTTCTGGCAGCCGGTTACCAGGCAGCCGAAAAGCCTCCTTCCAGCAGATGCAACCTCCAGCCGCCCCTCTCTGGCTGTGCTGCACGGCCTCCGCCCTCCGCGCCTCCCTCCTCCCTTCTTCCCCCACTCTCCTGCTTCTCCTCTGGGTGTCAGAGCTGCGGGTGTCTCTCTGGAGTGCTCAGCTGGGGCCCAGGGCTAGGGACCGGAGGAGGATTTAGAACAGTGCTCAGGGAGGCAGGGAAGGAGCTGGGAGGAGGAAGGAACAGGTTGTACCGGAGCGCTGAAACTCCCTGGGCAACCGAATGAGAATAGCAGTAGCTCAGGGTTTCAAGTCACCTGGGAACCCACTGAAAGCCCTGAAAGCTGAGGGGACTCCAGAGGAAGGGAGCTGTCGTAGATTGAAGGGGCAAGACTTTCCAGTTGAGTCGAATTTGAGAGGCTGGAGACAACAGTCCTTGATACATTTTTCTTTTGGAGTAATCACAGCCTCTTTGGGAAGAATTACAGACTGGAGGGGCGTGGCTAAGCTATGGGTTTTGAGGCGTACACGGAGAGACAGTTCTTCCCATCTTCCTACAAACCCACTGAAAAGGTAGGACGCTGACACACTGCAGCAACCGCTGAACTTGGCCTGAGGAAAGTCTTGTTTCATACCCAGACATTGGTGTTTTGATTGGCCAGTGGCCAGTGCAGACCCCAGGGGCAGTCTCATCAAGAGAAAGGCTGCCAGGTCTCATAACCCCACACCCCACACTACCCCTCAACCTCCCCAACCAAATCCCATTTGTAAAAACCACAATGAGAAAAGGGAGGATTTTAAAGTTCCCCGGGGGTGGGGGGAGGTGGGGGCTGATCCTCTGGGGGAACCTGGAAACCTGCAGCTGAATGGAGGGCTGTGTGGGGAAAAGGAGGTGGAGGGGTGCTTTGTGAGAGGGACTTAGCTGTCTTAGACATTCCATGTTCTACAAAAATCAATTTGTGTGTCCCCACAGCAACTTACTTTGTAAGTACTATTATTATCTTCAATCTACAAATTAAGAAATAGAGGCAACAAAAACTGATTAAATTGTCCAAGGTCACAAAAGTGGAATGTGACAAAGTGGGATTCAAGGCCATTAAAGTTCAGGACTACATTTTTCCCTTCTGGAGAAATGCTTAATCTCCTTTCCGGATCCAAGTGTTCCATTGCCCCTAGCATCCAACCTGGGAACATTTGCTCTCATCATAGAGAGCAGGAGGATGGCTGGGATAATTTATATTTCCTAGACTAGGATGACAGTGTCTCCCTAATCCCTGTCCTTAATCCACAGGGCTGCAGTGAGCCTCAGGAGCTAAAGGGAAGATCTTTGAAGGCATGTCAGGCAATTCTAGGCACAACCTCCTCCAGATGTTTCTTGGTTTAAAATTACCATGAATTGCTGTCATTTTGAATGTCTGATTGTATTGTCTATTTCTGTCCTTGCATATTGTTTGAGATCTAACTCTGCGGATGTTACCATCTCTTGTCTAAGAATGCATCTACATATGGGTGTGTTTTGGGAAATTAGTGCAAATGTTCACTGGAACAGCTTGTATCAGTGCCCCCCCCCAGTGTGTGTGTGTGTGTGTGTGTGTGTGTGTGTGTGTTTGACTTTTTACGGGTGAATTAGGAACAGGTAGTTGGCTTGGTTGCGTGTGACTCTGCATGTGGCTGGATGTCTTTGCAGAGGTGCAGGAATGAGGGCGGGGTATGATTATGTGGAGGCATCAGTGGCTAGCTACAGGGTCTTGGACTCTCCACCCCAGACCATTCTGCCATTCATTCATTCATTGAGCTGCCAAGGATTGAACCCAGGACCTTGTGCATGCTGGGCAAGTATTCTACTGCTGAGCTGTGGGCTCTGAGGTAGTTCAGACAGACCTCCCAGATAGTGCTGATGAACCTGTCTGCAGATCACACTTGAGTAGCAACCTCATCTCAGATAACATCCAAATGATGACTCTCAAGAAATTGTTTACAACCTCTAGATGTTTCTCCAGGGGAGGATCTTCCCGGACAATGCAGTAAGAGCCCCTTTCTTCCTCACTTAGATGCTTCAAACAAATGTGTCGATATGCCTATATTTCAGCTTTCTGTTGCTTGTTTTAGACCCCGCCCTCCTTCAGTCACCTTAGAACATGTCTTTGTCTTTATGTTTGTGATGTATATTTGTGACGTATGTAGCTAGTTAGTGCATCTAGAAATCGTTTCTACTGCTCTGGTATTGATCATCTACCTATTTACCTACACATCTATCATCTATTTATATATATTCTATCAACAGGTGTCAGTCAGTAGATGATAGATCTACAGAGTGGGACAGGGAGAGAACTTGGAACGAAGCCTACTTCCCTCTGATTTCTTACAGTACTCACATTATGCCAGCTCTGTATTACACATTTCAGGGAGTGTGTGATGATTGCAACTGAACGAATCAAAAAATGCAGGTATTGGGGCAGGCAGAAAGGGGAAACTGAGGGACAGAAGCAAAGGTGATTTCTTTTTAAATATTTCATTTATTATTTTTAATGTGTTTTACATGTATACATGCTTGCATGTATGTAAGTGCACCCATGTTATGCAATGCCTGCAGAGATCAGAGGAGGGCCATCAGATCCCCTGGAACTGGAGTTACAGGTGGTTGTTAGCTGCCGTGTGGGTGCTGGGAATTGAATCTAGGTCCTCTACAAGAGCAACCTCACTGGACATTTCTGATGAGGGTCTCATGTGGATCACCCCTCCATTGTGAGAAAGCAAAATGTAGCTAAAACCAAATTTTATTTCTGTCCATTTGAAATTTGTTCAGTGGTAGAAGCCATTCTCCTGACCTAGGTAAAGATGTAGCAAGTCTCTATGCTTTGGGTCTACTCTTATATTAATATAATATGCATAATTCAATACGGCAAATCATTGTATTACCCACATCATTGTTTTTGTCCACAAATTGATGTGACTTATTTAGTAACAGATAATTCAATAACATGTAACCTGAACTAAGGGCCAGAGAAAACTTAGTTTACCGCTTGTCCTATTTAACTATTCAAATGGCTTATATTTTTCTGGTTAGATATCATCTCCCTAGTTACTGTGGGTGTTTAGTCTCAGAAATCACCTTCAGGGGCTGGAGTGATGGCTCAGTGTTTAAGAGCACTGGCTTCTTTTGCAGAAAACCCAGTTTCGATTCCTAGCACTCACATGACAGTTAACAACCATCCATAACTCCAGTTCCAGGGGAATCCAATGCCCTCTTACGACCTCTGTAGGCATTGCATGACATGAGTGCACTTACATACATGCAGGCAATATACACATGCACACAAAAATAAAATTTCAAGAATTAATAAAAAGAAGTGTCTGGTGAGGCTTCTGATGACAGTCTGCAGGAACACAGCTTGCAAAGCTAATGCAGGTGCTAACCAGGCCGGGAAAGTCTTGGAACTCAGGCTGTTGCTGACCCTTCCATTCAAAGAGATGGACCAGAGACTGCAGTGGTGGCGCCCACAGCATCTTCAGCTGGCTCTGGTGGGTTCCACTGGGTCTATGAGAGATGCTGTGTTTCAGAAGTAAGAGAATGCACTCTGGACTATCTCCCCACTTCCTCTTCTATCACCAGATTCCACATTATCTTTCTCACAGGTATGCCCTGTACCCTTGCATCCTTGAGTCTCTCCTCCCTTCAAATCAGCAATTAAACAAAACCCACTGTTCTATCTACCAGGGACACAGTCACACCCAAACTAGGGAGGTCTTGCTTTCTCCAACCTCCCACCTCTTGATCGGCATCTTTCTAAGGAATGTTAAAGATACTGACAGTAGCCAAAGAAACATCAGGATGTCTCTGAATGGAGCAGTGAGCTCCCAGTAGAAGTCAGTATGGTTGAAACTGAGAAAAAAAAATTCCTTTCAAATAAAGGAAAAGTTGATCTATATGTCCTTAGTAGGATGGGTCTTACTGAATTCTGCGGTACAATACAAAGATGTACGGCAGGGTAGTCATTAATAATAAAGTAAATGGTGAGATTATCTTGCCTGATCCTCTATCCCAGATGTATTTCCCTCCTAGATATGAAGAAAAAAATTAACGAGGAAAGCAGATGTCCTTCCCTTCCCACCCCTTTCCCTCCTCACTTGCCCCTCAGTTCAACACCTGAGAGGAAGCCCTGGAAGTGACTTTCTGTTCCTGTTTGAAGAAACACAAACATAGAGGCAAACAAAACACGTACAAATTCGAGGTGTGCATGCTGGAGAGAGTGGTCACTCCCTCACTGGTGAGGGAAGGTGGATGGGAATGGGCAGGGGAGGAACATGGGAGGATTATGCCTATGTTGACCCAGATCCTGGACCTCAGGGCTGTTAGGATTTCCTGTTTAGAAGGATTAAGATGAGAAGTCATTCACAAATCAAGGTTCACATCTGGAGCTCAGCTTTTTCCTCCTCTCCCTCCCTCCCTTCCTCTCTGCCTCCCTTCCTACTGATAATCCCAGAACAAATTCATTAATGGGTCCAGTGCATTTTCAGAATACAAACACAGAGTAAGTTGACCTAAATATGCAGTGGCTGGGAGAGTCAGGGGAGAGCTTGCATTGGTGAGTTGTGGGTTGCTGGCTCTCTCTTGGGTTTCTCATGGTCCTGTCTCTCTTCCATTGACAAGCTGCCAGTTAGAGCCAATTGTCTCTTTCTCTCATTCCCTTCTTTCCATCTCTCAGGCTATCTTACCACAGCATCTATTCACATAACACAAAAGCCTTCTAACTGTGAAATTGTTAACTAAGAGCTTCCATTCTTCTCATAGGTTAGAGATGTTAGAATCACTTTTTCCCTTTCTCAATATCAACTGCAGTTCATATTTTCTAACACTCTTGGCCAATTCTCAGACCAAAGAAGACATGAGTTTAGTGTATTAGATTCAGTGGCTTTTCCTTCCCATTGCAGCCCATGTCATATGCACTACGCTTATCAATTTAGGATACGTGTGCAGATGCATGAAAAGGTACTTCATTTAAAAACTGCTTAGCAAATTTAAGATGGTTTTA